TTATAAATATATCTAGTTCTGTTTAGTCCAATTTTGAATACTAAATAAATGAGTCATTATGTTTGATTTTTCTAGAAATGCATCTACTAGGTTAATGTCAGTTTTGCTGCAAGTGGTTCTAGTTTATTATTTTTTAAATGAATTTTATATTTCATAATTATACAAAATTATTATTATGGGACATTTTACTTTCTATTTTGGATATATTAAGTATACCTATATGCAAAAGCTTAAATTATGTAGTGTTTGCTACAAGTACAGAACATTTTCTAGGATTTATAACAAATAGCTTGGTTCTGTATGGTTAAGTTATATGATTTTCATAATTATTAGATAATGCATTTCTCCTAAAACACTGTAACAATGTACAGATCACTGCAGAATGAATATTATATTAATACTGGTTGATCTTTTAAATTTAGAATAACTGATAAGTATATGCTGTTATTTAATCTGAATGCATATGTTTGATTTTGTTTGTTGTTTTTTTAATACATCAATAAGCCCTCTAGATTTACTCCTTTGTGGAATGCTTGTTTAAGACATGGAGTTTTTTGTTTGTTTTTGTGTTCTCTAATTGGAATTTTTCTTACATATTTTAGGAAGTTTGGGGTTTTTAAAAATTTGATAGTCAAAATTGCTTAGTTCTTAAGATGCCTTATAAATATCTTTTGCTCAGTGCCTGGTTATTTTTGCTTAACTTGTGTATTTTGTTAATGATTGCTATTTCTATATTTTAAGCAAACTTATTCCAACACCATTAAAATATCTTATATAACCTTGTAAAATAGTTTAATTTTTCTTTCACATTTAGATATTTGTATTTCCTGAAATTGACTTTTGATTATACTTTGAGAAAGAGATGATCAATTTGGTGTTTTTAACTTAATTTAGCAAATTCCTTAAGCACTTTATTGAAACTTTTTTCTGAATAATTTCTCTATGTCTTAGACGTTTCCTATGGGCTTGTTTTTTGTGACTCTGTATTTAATGTATTCATCTATTTGTCTCTTAATAATAAATCTTGATAGCTTAAAGATAAAGGCCTTCCATATATTTTTTCCCTTAAAATATATCCTCGATTTTTGTAACTGCGTGTCCCAGTTGTCATCTACAAGGTCAGCACTTTGAATTCACCCCCCCACCCCACTGTTCTTCAGGAGAAAGAGGCTTTCTACTCCCGAAAGAGTTTCAGGCTCAGAAACGTACGGGGCAGTCCCACCCTGTTCTGTGTGGTTGTCATGGGTCCGAATCGGCTCTCAGAGTGTGTTTTCCAGATTTGCATAAAGTTCAATGTTCTAGATTAAAATGAAGTGAACTTGACCAGTACTGATCATTTTGACTCAGACAATAATAGTGTCTACTAAGCCAAGAATGACAAATTCAAGAGGAACGAAGTCGCATTCATCATCAAAAAGAACATTTAGTTTGAAATATAAAATTGTCTGTGATCAGATAAACCTATACGCTGTCAAGGAAGTCCAGTTAAACAACTATGATTCAAATTTACACACCAACCAACTAGATGGTGATGAAGATAATGAAAAATTCAACCAAGTTCTTCAGTTTAAAATTGATCAAGTATGTAACTGAGATGTACTGATAATTATTGACAATTGGAAGGCAAAAGTTGAAAACAAGGTGGGTCAAACAGTATTTGGAACATAGGGCCTTGGTGAAAGAAACAAAGTTGGAAACTGTATGATAAAATTTTGTGAGACCAATTATTTCTTTATTGCAAGTACCTTTTTTCAACGACACAATTGGCTACTCCACCCATGGACCTCACCAGACAGAATACTCAGAAATCCAATGGACTGCACAAACGAGCAATGGAGCAGATAGCTGCTGCCAAGACCAGTCTGAGGATTCTCTGTGGAACAGCCCACCAGCTGTGCATATGTAAAATCGAGTGTACGTTAAATAAAATTAAAGCAAGTTATTGAGCACAAAAATAGGATCTGGAGTATATCTCATCTGACTTTCAATTGAGTATTTTTGACACATTGAACACTAATTACAGAAGACCTGGAATGCTGTAGAATGACATGAAGAATTATACATGAAGAAAGCAAGAGATCATTTTAAAAAATACAAGAAAGAAAGGTAAGATCAAAGTGGATGCTGGAAGAGACTTGCAAACTTGTAGTTGAATATAAAGTAGCTAAAACAAATACAAGAAATGAAGAAGTAAAACAGCTAAACTGAAAATTTCAAAGACATTTGTAAAAGCCCAAGTAAAATATGATGAAATGTGTAAAGACTTGACCTGAACTTAGAAAGCGAAAAAGGAAGAACTTGGTCAGTGTATCTCAAGCGAAAACTTCGGAAGGGAAAATTCAGCCTTTGAGCTGCATTATGGAAAAATTACGGAAATAGAATGTAAATGTCTAGAAAATTATGATGGCAATATATGTACACATATGATTGATACAATTGATGCATGGATTGTTATAAGAGTTGGAAGAGCCCCAATAAAATTATATTTTTAAAAAATCATGAGAACTGGACCAAGAGTCGTGATAAATGGAAGAGAAAAGGAAAGATAAGTTGAACAACATATTTAATGATACAAGAAGCATCAAAAGAAATAGAAAGAATATACAGAATCATGGAAACACTGACTGACTTAAAATCTGGAAAGGTGTGTGCCAGGTATGTATTCTCTCACTACATTTATTCAATCTGTATGCTGAGAAAATAATCCCTGCACCTGGACTCGAAAAAAGATCATGACACCAGGATTGCCGAAAGGCTTATTAGCCACCTGAAATATGCAGCCGTCACAAGCTTGCTTACTTAAAGCACTTGACAATGAAGTTCAAGAATTGTAACGTTTAAAAAACAAATCTTAATCAGAAAAGAAATGACAGAGACACATCATCTAGATGAGAGAAACAATTAGCACAAGGTCATAATGATTTGCAGAGAAGTGCAAAGTTAAATAGGACATGCGAGGACAAAGGATTATGACTTTCAGTGTAGATTACAAGTCAATGTAAAGAAAACAAAAACCATCATAATTGGACAAATAGACAACATCATGACTTAGAGAGACAAGATAGAACTTGTCAAGGATCTCCGTCAATGCTCCTGGAAGTGTGATCAAGAAATCAAATCCTATGTTGCACTGGGAAAATCTGCTGCATAAGAATTTTTATTTTTAATAGTTTAATCATATTAAGAGTTGTACAATAATCACTACAAACAATTTTAGAACATTTTCTTCTCTCTTGTATTGTTATTATCTCACCATCTACCCCCAAGCTCCACTGCCATAACCCAAAGAAACCATTGATGTGATAACTATTGACGTTGGGATCTCACATTGTCACATGGCTAAACATTTTAAATTTAAGTGAATATTATTACTTCAGCAAGCTCTCTGCTTAATAGAGGCCAATATATTTGCAAGATCAGCTAGCTCATGAAGCTGATCTTTATATCAGTATTTTAAGCAAGATTAAAGCTAATAAAGTGATTTTTTAAATGAAACACCTTGTAACTGAGGTGAGTCTTGCATTTACTCATAAAGAACAAAGTCCAATAAAAATAGTTACTTCCAATGAAATCTGATGAATCAGTTAAAGTCAAGGTCCAAATGCCAGTTCAGAAGGTTATGTAACTGTTTATAGTGGATTCCACTGGTAATCTTGATGGATTTTTCTCAAAAAACACAGGACGACTACAGGTGCTTATTTATAAGAAATGTTAAGAAATCAAGAACTGCTTTGGTAAGAAATAGGTCAATAAAGTTCTGTCAAGAAAACGCTATCAAAACAATATCAATACACGTGTTCACTTTTCCAAAGTAATAAAAATTTCTCCCATGAGAATTCCACTGGGAAACTCTACTTCATACACCCAACAGCCATGACCTTATCCCTTCCGAGTTCTTTTGTCCCCCACATCAAAGAACTTTTTAAAGGAATATGATTTTAAAGTCCTTGAAAGATATCCAAATTGCTTGATATTTTGACATGGTATAAATTGAACAGCACAGATTCTTTGAGGTAGGATGAAAAAAATGGAAACATTGTCTTCAGAAGTTCATAGACTTAGATGAGAGATATATTGTGATACCATAGCTTCACAATTCCATGTTTATTAAAGTTTCTATGATTTCATAGCAGTACTTTTTTTTACTTACTCTCATATATAACCAAAGATAGAAGTACACTTGATATTAAGCTAAAGTGAAGAACAATCAAAGGAAGAGAAAAGAGCTGGTACAAATATCTGGAGGAAAACTTTATCTGCTATCTGTAAAAGAAAAATAGGAATCCCTTTGTGTTCATCCAGATTGACTAGAGGAACAAATTTTCATATGTGTATTAGAAAGAGCTTTATATAAAACAGCATCTGTATATTGAGAAAATATCCCAATCAAGTCCATATGCCCGATATTAGCCCATATGTCTGATACCAGTCCATAAATTCCTCTTTAGACTCACACAGCACATAAAATGATGTGGAATGCAGGACCATCACAGACCCCTGGGTGGAAAGTCTTGTGGATCCAGTGGCAGTGGAGACATCTCATCACTGTTGCAGGTCTCCGTGTGTCTCTTCCAGCTCTCTGAGTGTCTCAACAGCAGGAAAGGGAAGGTAGAGAGAGAGTTTGTCCCAACTCCAGGGAGGAAGAGAGAAAGTCCCAGAATCCTCTGGAGAAAGCAGTACCCATACAGAGGCACCATTGGCTATGACCTGATTGACAAGCTAGACTCCACCCCTTCACTCAAGTTGACAGGAGATTATGTAATTGCCACACCCTTGTAAATGGAACGTATGTGGTGTTCAGTGTAAAGTGTAAGTGCAGTAAGTGTAAATGAAGTAAAAGTGACTGAGGACAAATCTAAAGACTAGGATTTTTTTTTTTTAAGACTAGGATTTTAAAGTGAAGTTTTGAATAAAATTCTTATATTCAAATAATATAAGAAAAAATAGATCTGTTTTAAAAACTTAGAATTTTCATCTTTTTAAAACATTTTATTTTACAGAACTTTTTTACCTAATAATTTTAGAGTTTATGGTTATAATGGAGGAAGAAGTATGAAATCACTTGACCAACGTTATCAGGTATTATTTTTACTATTTGTGTTTTAGCTTTGTTTTGCTTTATCTGATAATCTAATTTAGGCTCTCTACCTAAAGAAAAAAGGGATGGGGTTATGTTATGCTCTGCTTTGTTTTGTATAAATTTAATTATTCTCTACAGAAATTATTTCCGTTGGCAGTATCTCAGTGTTGCTTGGTAACAAAAACTATCAAAATATTAATTTTCTTAGAACACAGCAAAAAAGAGTAAATTTGATGATGAACAATAATACATTAATAATTAACAGCCAATGATGTTGATTGTGCCACTTCTAGATGTGATTTTACATGAAATCGAATTCCTACAAAACAATAAAATATCTCTATCTTTCTAGCAACAAGATGTAATATTCTTTTTAGAAGTGAAGAAATTCTTACCTTTTCCTCTAAATGAGGAGACATACAATTCCAAGAGTCATTGTTTCCATTGCTGGATATATATTGTTTTCTCCACTAAATTAGTCATAATCCCACTGAATAGTATGCTACTTAAAGAACACATTTTAAAGCTGAGTACATGGGTGGGGGCTACATCTGACCTCCCTGACTCCCAAAGCGGAGTGTGCCACAAGGTAGATTTCTGTGAGCTCAGTGGGTGACCCCTCTACCCAGGGTCCTTCTCTTCTGTTGATAATGTGATCCCTGATTCTTGCTTCTGTTGTCTTGTTTTATACCTAGCAAGATGACAGTCAAGATAACCTTGTTAACCATCATGCATAGCTGAATTATATAAGCCCAGAAGTATCTACCTGTAGTTTTTCTTACTCAAATCCATCAGGAAAATGTAGGTTATGTTGTGGAAATAACAAAAAGCTATGGCTAGAAGAACCATATTAAATAATTCACTGCAGTGTAAAAGCTGATCTCCAGAAAAAGCATAAAAGCATATGTAGATGAACAGTAGGAAAGAGGAGAATAACAAGAAAATGATTTGTTTTACACACACACACACACACACACACACACATTTAACATGCAAGGAAAAAATCGGCAGAGCAACTGCAGTCTTCATTTCTGTAGCTGGACTGGTCATGAAGTCATGATAGGTGGCTTCCTTCGTTCACTATTTCCTTCTCTTTTCCTCAAGCAAAACTTCAGATGATTGGATTCCTTCAGGAGCAGAATGAACCAAGTCTTTATTCCAAAAGTGTCAGGCTCCTTAATCATGCTCTTTATTTTCATTGCTGTAATTTCCCATTAATGTTCATTATTGAACATGGACATAAAAAGATAAATCACAGAATTTGTGTTCAAAATATACGTTCTCTGCCATAATTTTCAGAGGTTATTTACATTATGTTAAATCTTACCAGGAGGGATTGTTTTTGTTGATTTTAAGTAACATTGACTCAGACCAAACTCAACCCGACACACAACCGAATGAAAGGACGTTACCCCTGCACCGTGCTCCCAGTCATTGCTATGTGTGTGCCCATTGCTGCAGCCACTGTGTGAATGCACCCTTCAAAGGCCTTCCTCTTTCTCACTGCTCCACGACTTTACAAAGAAGGGTGTTCTGCTCTCCTGACAATATGTCCAAAGTAAGTGAGGTGAAGTCTCGGCACCCTTGCTTCTAACGAGTATACGAATTGTACTTTTTCTAAAACAGATCTATTTGGTCTTATGGCAGTTCATGGTAATTTTGATATCCATCACTAGTACCATAATTCAATTGCACTGGTTCTTCTTCAATCTTCCTTATTCATTGTCCAAATTTCACATGCATATGAAGCTGCTGAAAAAATAACATGACTTGGGTCAAAGGAATATTCTTGCTTTTCAACGCTTTAGAGAAGTTTTGTGCAGCATATTTACCCAATGTAATATATCAGTTGATCTCTTCATTGCTACTTGTGGAAGTATTGATTGTGGATATAAGTAAGATGAAATCCTCAATAATTTCAATCTTTTCTTCATTTATCATGATGTTACTTATTGGTCCAATTGTGAGGATTTGTATATCGTTACAATGAGTCGTAATCCATACTGTAATTCATCAGCGAGTGCTTCTAGTCCTCCGCACTTTCATCTACATGTTGCAAATTGTTAATAAGCCTTCCTTCAATTCTGATGGTACATTTTCCAACTTCTCTGATGATTTGCACAGCATACAGATTAAATAAGTATATGATAGTATACAAATCTGACTTACAACTTTCCTGATTTTAAATCATGCAATATTCTCTTATTCTGTTCGTGAAACTGCCTCTGAATCCATGTCCAATTTCACTTGAGCACAATGAAGTGTTCTGGAATTTCCATTCTTCTCAAGGCTATCCATCGTTTGTTATGATACACACAGTAGAATATTTTGGCATAGTCAATAAAACACATGTAAATAACTTCCTGGTATTCTTTGCTTTGTGTCAAGAGCCATCTGATGAAATTCCTTGTTGCATGTCCTATTCTGATCCAGCCTGAACCTCTGAAAGTCAATGTACTACTGAAACCATTGTTGGATGATCTTCAGCAAAATTTTACTTCCACGTGGCCTAATTGATTTTGCTCTACAGTGTGCATTCTCTTGGGTCACCTTATTTTGGAATGGTGACAAATATGGATCTCTTCCAGTTTGTTGGTCAATTAGATGACTTCCCAATTTCCTTAAATAAATAGATGAGTGAGTGTTTCCAGTGCTTCATCAGTTATTTTGAACATTTCAATAGGTATCCCATCAATACGTGGAGCTTGGGTTTTAGCTAATGTTTCAGTGTAGCTTGACCTTCTTTCTTCAGTATCAGTGGTTCTTGCTCATGTGCTCCCTCTTGAAATTGTAGGATGTTCACTAGTTAGTTCAGGTATAGTGACTACATCCTTTCCATCTTCTTTTGATGCTTCCTCTGTCATTCAATATTTTGCCCATATTGCAAATGGAGGCTTGGGATTTCTTTTAGGATTTTCCCAGTTTAAGGGATGCTGAGTGTAGTCTTCCTTTTTGGTTCTCTAACTCTAGGGCTTCGTGTATTTCATTATAATATTTTACTTTGTCGTCTAGAGCTACCCTTTGAAAATTCTTGTTCAGCACTTTGATGTCATCATTTCTCACATTTGCCTTAGCTACTCTATGATGAAGAGTAAGTTTCAGAGTCCCTTCTGACGCCCACTTTGATCTTTTCTTTTATTTCTGTCTTTGTAATGACCTTTGCTTTCTTCCTGAATGAGGTCCTCGATTCCTCCCACAGCTCATCAGCTCATCCGTCCTTACTGCTCAATGCGTCAAATCTGTTCTTGAGATTTTCTCGAAATTCAGGTGGGATATACTCAAGGTCATATTTTGGTTCTCATGCACTTGTTAAAATTTTCTGCAGCTTCAACTTGAATTTATGTGTGAGCAATTGATGATCATAACAATCTGAAAGATTACCTCATGCCGGGGGCTTAAGTGGAGAGGAAATGTTCTGAGAATGATGAGGGCAATGAATGTACAAATGCGCTTTACACAATTGATGTATGTATGGATTGTGATAAGAGTTGTATGAACCCCTAATAAAATGATTTTTAAAAATCTGAAAGATTACTATTTCTTAAATACTAAGCCACTCTTAATCCTAGCCCACCCAAGTTGACACAAAACCATACCCAGTTTAGACTGTTGAACAGATGTGTGTTAGATCTTATTGGTTTATAGTGTTCTTCAAGTCTGTTGTTTCCTTGATGAACTTCGGTGAAAGTACTCCATCAATTATTGGAAGTTTGGTGTTGCAGTCTCTATTGCTGTTGAAATAGCTATTTCTCCCTCCACTCCCATCAATTTATTTTATATATTTTAGTACTCTGTTGCTCCATAACATTTTCAAATATGTTAGTTTTAAGAAGCAGATCATCAGTACTGTCTTCTACTGAGTGAATGGTCGAGCTTAATGGTCGAGCACTTCACTCTATCAAGCAGTCTGTTTAGCCGGGAATAGCTTCCTAAGTCTGTTCACTGATGCTTGGAGACTGCCAGAGACTCTTCTCAGTTCTTTTAGCTTTATCGATCTTCCTTTCTACTGGGCCGGGACCTCGTGTTCTCATTTCACGTGATACTTACACCCAAGTTACTTACATATGTTAGGGCTCATTATTTCCTCTCTTCTTCCCTAGACATGTCAACTCAATTTTTAGACCCTTTTGAAAAAAAAATGTTGTTACCCTAAGCTTTCTTTCTATTTGAGTATTAGTCACCTGTTGTTACACTGCCTTGAAGTGCCCTCAGATAAACACCCATACAGACAAGGATCAAAGCTAATGTTCTTTCTTTCCAGTTTTGATTTCTTTTGCCTTCTTTTGCTTCTTTTGTAATGGAGGGTCTCCATGAGTCTGAATCGACAATATGGGGAGTGAGTTTGCTTCAGGTTTTGAGGTTGGCATTGTATAAGCCTTTTTTCAGAGTTTATAATGGTCATCTGTGGTAGGATTGATGTATGCTCTGTATGCTGCCAGTGTATTTAAATAATTTTGAAAGTGTCTCCTTCAGATTCAATTTTGAAATTCTTGTCTTGCAAAATAAGAAAAATGAAAAAGTTAACAATTTTTAACTTGATTTCATGACTCAAAAATTATCATGATTAATTTTTAAAATAGAAATGCAGTTTTTGAAATTAAAGAGAAAACTTTGGAGAATAAAGACAAATGGTCATCTAATAATCTTCTAAATCCATTCTGGAAACATGAGTATTTACACATCCATGCCACTGAGCATACATACTTTTAATAATAGAAAATTATATCTTTAATTTGAACTTCTAATAAAGATATATATTCTTTATCTTTATTTTTCAGAAATTCTGCTACTACCAAGGCTTTATTGAAGGTTTTCCAAATTCTATGGCAATCATTAGCACATGCACTGGACTCAGGTTGTGATATATAATTTTATAGACTAAAGACTGGAATGTTTATTTGGGAAGGATTTCTAAAATAATATTCAGGAATTTTTTAATACTCAGGAATAATATGTGGAACTCTTTATTGACAAATCAAAACATGGAAATCCTTGAAATATAAGACTACTTTCTTAGCCTGTGTTAAGGTATTTAATATATCTGAAGGTCATGATATACTAATATCATACTATATCTGTTAAGACTAAGTCTGAAAATGACCTGCATACCACTTAAAATAACAAACTTTGTAACGTTTTACTTTTAAAATATGCACTCATCTCTTTATTTATGTACTTTTTGGCATTCATAGAGGCTTACTGCAGTTTGACAATGTCAGTTATGGAATTGAACCCCTGGAGTCTTCCATAGGTTTTGAACATGTAATTTATCAAGTCAAACATAAGAATAAAGGTGTTTCTTTGTATGCAGAAAAGGATATTGAGTCAAGAGCTCTTCCGTATAAAATACAAAGTATTGAGGTAAGTGATTGAGCAAAATGCATGGTAATTTTTGTGCAAAAACATAAACTATGTGTTATCTCTAATTAACAAATTATTTATATTAGCATACATATTGGGATGAATATACCTAAAACTTATTTAATAAGCCTTAAAACTACTCTCAGACTTATAAGAATTCCAAGTATGGAGTTTTTAACTGTTAGTGGACTCATTTTCCTGGGATCTAGAACTTTCTTTTCTACAGATAAACTTTCCCCATATCTAGTATGTCAAAATTTTAGTAAAATAAAAGATAACTGCTATTCACGTTTGTTCTAGAATTATTGAGAGAGCCACCCTGTTGTTGCTGTTGTGAGAGCCGGGGCAGCAGGTCTTCTATCATGTCTTTCATGTTGGGCTCGGGTGGCTGCGGTACAGAGTAGTTTCAGACCTGTGTCCTTTAAATGGCTCGCACTTTAGTACTTTTCTTATGTTCAGAAAATTTTTATATATATTTTAACAACAAAATTTGACCCTTCAAGAGATTAAATACTAATTTTAATAAAGAAATGAAAAGAAAATGGCAGAGAAATTAAGATAAGCATAATTAACGTCTCCTCAAATTTTTGAAACTATGATTCTCTTTATTTGCTTCTGGAAGTTTGACCCATCCTTGTTGGTGGTATTTATTTTAGCAACTTAAAAAAAATTATTCATACTGCAATGTCAAAGTATTTGTAACTGTAGTGGGTTCCTTTAAGTTTTTCCCCCCTAATGTGTTAATCTTGAGTATCAGTGGTGGTATGATGAGTTGTATGCTGGCCTAAGAACCAGAAGGGCAGCAATTCGAAACCACCAACCTCTCCAAGGAGAAAGAGGAAGCTTTCTCCTCTCAGAGGTCATGGAAAATCCACACAGGTGGTTCTGTTCTGCCCTACAGGGTTGCCATGAGTTGGAGTAGACGTGATAACAGTGAGGGATATTTGGTTTGTTAATCTTAGGTTGTTTTCATATAATAATAATAATAACTAATACGCTTATTGATAATACAACAATTTTACCTAATCTTGTCTTTCCTTCCAAATTACAGAGAAGTTCCCAGAGTTCAAATATCACATTCATGTTTCTAAATGGGTGACAACATAGCCCACACCCAGCTGAGGACATTTGTGGTCCAGCTTAAGAGAATCAGTCAGTTTGACCCTTTGCTCATCTTTATCAAGAAAGACTTAAAAGAGGAATACCATTAGCCTTCAGATGAAATCCCACCCACCAACATAGGGAAACACCATTACTATTTTAAGTCAACAGCTTAACTATAACTCACTCTTTTGTAATAATTGAATATTAATGAGAATGCAGAAGGGTAGAAGAACAAGATAAATGAAATTTTGAAAGTCATAATGAAAAGGAATCATATACCCAGCTTTGCCTAAGGGTCCCTGGTGGTTACACATTGGGCTGCTAACCATGAGGTCATCAGTCTGAAATACCCATCACTCTGTGGGAGAAAGCTGAAGCTTTCTACTGCTGTAAATAAAGTTACAGTCTCAGGAAGGCACAGGGCAGTTGTGCCCCATTCTATAAGGTAATTATGAGTCAGAACTGACACAATGGCAGTGAGTGAGCTTTGTTATCGTACCTGGGTTTATTTGAAGGCATACTTCTCAACATAGAGTCATTTGCAATAGTGATATATATATATTAATCCATTTAGAGGATTATTTAATTCTAATATAAAATTTATGGATTTTTTGTTTCTTTTTTTTTAGCCAGAATCAGATTTCTACCAGTATATAGAAATGCATATTGTAGTTGAAAAACAATTGGTAAGTATATTCTGAATTGTCTTATCTCAATTATATTCAAGTGAGAGTTTTTCAAAATCATTTGGAACAAAGTTTTATCAGAAGAGAAGCCATGATCTCGTTTTAGTCCTATTTTAATGTATTTAAAATTTTTAGTATTCGCGGTACATTGAAGATAAAATTTCTATTAGATGTTTATTCTGAATTGATAGGTTTTTAACTTACGAATAGCTGCTATCTGAAGGATAATTTATTAGTAACATTTAGAAATAGTTTTATTTGAAGGGCATTATAGAAATTTGTGGTACATTTCCTAGCACTCTAAATACAATTGAAAATAATATCTGACATTATTTATATTACATAATTTAAAGAGTAAATATGAGTTTATATTCATAAATATTTTGATGGGCAGGGGAAATATTAATATTTGAGGAGGAGGAACTATCATTCCTGAAATTTCCCTCTTTTCTAATATCACTTTACAACCTAAAACTCATCATAAAAACCAAAAAACTCACAGCCCTCAATTTGAGTCTGACTCTATACCAAACAAACAAACAAACTCACTGCCATTGAGTTGATTAAACTTACAGTGTATCCTAGAGGTCAGGGTAAAACTGGCCCATCTAGTTTCAGAGACTAACTCTTTGTGGGAGTAGAAAGTCTCATCTTTGTCCTGTGGAGCAGCTGGTGGTTTCAAACTGCCGACCTTTCAGTGAGCAGCCTTAGCGTAACTGCTACGCTACCAAGGATTCTATATAGCAACTCTGTAGGACTGAGTGAAAATTCTCCTGTGGGTTTCCAAAACTGTAAATATTTTGAGAGCAGAAAGCCTCTCCTTCATCCCACCAAAAGGCTGATGGTTTCAAACTGCGTACCTTGCAGTTAGCTCAACTTCACCAGGGCCTAAAGTCACTTTATTTGAAATATGGAACCCCTGAAATAATTTATTCTTTTGGTTTGTTTTTGATCTTTTCTTTCCCCCCTATTCTCTGTAGTGAGATTCTCAATCTTATAATCTAAAATAGATGCACTTCGCTCATATTTGGGGATTGCATCCTTATTCTTTATTCAGTCTCACAGCTTTCTGTTTTTGTTTTCATAGATGCAAACTCTTCCTTGTCTTTGATTTTAAGATGCCAACTCTGGCCGTAGACCCATTATACCCACTTGTTTTGGGCACCTTCATTTAATGTTGACTGAAGTCTATGGACTATTAAAATGACAAACGAATCTGTCTTGGAAGAAGCAGGGCTAGAGTGATCCATAGAGACAAGGATAGCAAGACTTGGTCATGTATTCTTTGAACATCTTCTCAGGAGAGACCAGACCCTGGAGAACATTGAGCTTGGTAAAGAGGAGGGCCAGTGAAAAAGAGGAAGGGCCTCAGGAGATGGATTGATGCCATGGGGGCAACCAGGGGCTCAGGCCTAGGAACATTGTGAGCATGGCTCAGGCCCAGGCCGTGCTTCCTTCTGCGGTGCAGATAGTCGCTATGGGTCAGAACTGACACCTAATAACACCTAATAACAACATTTTATTCAACTATTAGTTGAATAGAGGGACTGAGCCCTTTCTACCCTTTTGGTTTGCTA